AACTTTAATACGCTAGTATAAGCCTAAGAGCTCCTATTTAACTAGCTATGGTGCAGCTAAACATCAGCTTTCAGCTAACAGCCAGCACGTTGACGTGAGGATGCAGAAATAATGTTGTTTAGCTAGCTAGCTTGCTAGTTAACGTTACCTAGCAATGTAGCCTATATTATAATATGATTGACAGTGTATGATAACGTTTTTACTGTACTTTTATATTCGTATGGGAGGGGTAAGCGTTCATTATTGATACTCTAACGTTACTTGATCATGAAGCATGTTGTTAGTTAGCTAGCTAGCAGGAGTTATCGGTGTATTGTCAGCTAATTTAATATGTATGGACGAGAAAATAAACCCTTTAATTGTCTCCACATGCTTGTGAATTGTTTAATTACTCAAGAGTGTAATATGGTTTGGTTGCATTATTCAATAGTGTAATATGTTTTCGAAGAAAAGTTGGTTGGATTGTTAAATAGCTTGTGCTTAATGGCTAGCGCCTACTTTGATATTTATGGACAATTTGAGCTGCGGACCAAGAATGTAGTATTGCCAGCCACAACGAAAGGTAAGGCAAGGATGTAATATGAATAGAAAAATATAAATCTCTATTGCCACTCCTCAGACTCTCCTTCATTTCTCATAGTGCGAATAGGGCCTGTCTGGTCTCACTGCAGGAGTCAGGTTGGCTTTAGGGCCACACACACTCGCACACATACACACACACCCAGTGTGTGAAAGGAACCATTAATGAATTGACAGACTTTTAAAAAGGAGAAGCTAAGGGCATTCTCTCTTGGTGTCGGGGGACTATTGAAAAGCAGTATGGGTGGGGTGCTCTTGTAAGGTTAAGTCTGGAGTCTAAACTGGGCCTGGGGACGTCCTCGCTGGGAAACAGCCACTCCTCTGAAAGGACGTCAGACAGGTAGAGAAAGAGTCCTGCTGGGGTTTTCAAGCCCTAAAACAAACAGAGGGGACTCAGGGAGCCACGCAACCCGCTGCACGTCCACCTAATTTAGCCCCGGAGCTGGGAGAACCGTGGGGCACAGAACTGGGCAGGAATGTACAGGCGGAACATTGGCCACCTTTAACTGTCACACGTGTTCTCTCCAAAAACAATGCCTGTGCAATTTGTATGACAGAGCGACCTCCCAACGCAGACATTTAACCCCCTCTTTTCAGAGCGGAATGCCAGCAATCAGCCAGGCGATTGTGGGGCTCCTTTGACGGGAATCTCGGAGGGATGGTTGGGATCCTTTGATGCTTTTTCCCTGTTTATCCATGAGAGAAGACACCATGAAAAGTTGGGGTGCGCTCGAAAGTGCCACTTGTGTGGGATCCATCTGTATGGCTGATCATAGGCTTTGTGCCATCAAGATGAAAAAGACAGAATTAATTGCAATGGGAGATAAAATAAATTTGTTAAATTAAATTAAAATCAAAGCCACAATGGGTGAATGGTCAAGGTTCCTTTGCCCCACATAAGTGGGGAGGTTCTGGTTTTTCATGGCAACACTAGAAGTGTCAAGAAAGAGCTACTTATTTTAATGAGACTGTTATAGAATAAAGACACGTCTGTCATAAAAAGGTAATGATTTCTTGAAAAATAATTCAAAGAGTCAAATTCTTGTTTTGTGAAACTAGAATAAATCAGACCTACCATTGTAATAGACAGAACAAATTGCTCCCTCTCTTCCTCCCCCGGTCTCACTCTCTCCTCTGTCCACTTTCCTCTCACCTTTTTTTCTCCCTCCTATCTCTCACCCTTTCCCCACATCTATATTTCTTCACCTCTTTCCCTCTCTTAAAATAATGTGGCAGCCCATAACTTGAGCATCAGCATATTTGATCTCAGTCACATCCTGTGCCACTATTTTCCATCATCGGAAGACAAGTAATTCCTGGAATCAGCAATATATTTTGGTTCCTGATGCACCAGCTGCTTTACTGGCTATGTTTGGTGCTGCAGGTGCAACACTGTCTTAGTTGTGATGTTTTCTCTCGGATGTGTCTACTGTCAAAGGGAGTGTGGTCGCGCTAATGCACAGGGTTGGAGTGGGCTTATGCAGGTAGTCTTAGTTTGGGGTGGAGTGGAGGGGGGTGGATAGTGATGGTTGTGTGTCTGGAGAGGTTGAAGGTGTTTTGTATGTGTGGGGGGGGATTACCGAGGTCTGGGGGGGTTGCTGTATGTGTGGTGTGTGTGCATCTGAGATATGGGAAATAAGAGACAGTTGCAGATACACAGAGTGCCACCATAACCCTCACCCGGCCCTCATCTGTGTACAGTATGTGCCCTAACCTCTCCCAGACTGCTTTGTGTACCTCAGATGATTACCAGACAGGAAGTCACAATGGGGGACACAGATCAGCCAGGCCACTGGTGCCAATCATCACACTACGGTAAAAACATCTGATTTTTCAGGACTGGGATCTTCACTCCTCCGCTGAGAGAAAAACACAAACCACAAAACAAAATACCTGAATACCACGCTACATGTACGTACTACACAAGGGCATGTTTGTGATGGGTGATTTCAAAAGGAGTTGGGCGCAGGAGGGTAAATCACAGAATAACAGGATTTATTCCGCAACACAGAATTACGCAGTAATGCGTCAAACACTCCAGTGCGCAAAAACAGGCGCACTGGAAACAACACGGCACACTGGGAAATATCCCAGCGATAAAAAATACTAGGAGCTCCACCGAGCTTCTCTATCCTCACAATAAACAATCACACACAAAGACAAGGGGGCAGAGGGAACACTAATACAGGTACTGATGAGGGGATATGAACCAGGTGTGTGTAATAAACAAGACAAAACAAATGGAATGATGAGATGAGGAGCGGCAGTGGCTAGAAGGCCGGTGACGACTAACGCCGAAGCCTGGCCGAACAAGGAGAGGAGGCAGCTTCGGAGGAAGTCGTGACAGTACCCCCCCCTTGACGCGCAGCTCCAGCAGCGCGCCAACACCGGCCTCGAGGACGGCCAGGAGGACGCGGAGCAGGGCAAGCCGGATGGCGACGGTGGAAATCCCGCAATAGGGAGGGATCAAGGATATCCCTCACTGGAACCCAGCACCACTCCTCCTGACCTTACCCCTCCCACTCCACGAGGTACTGAAGGCCCCCACACCCGACACCTCGAATCCAGGAGGGCACGGACGGAGTATGCCGGGGCCCCCTCAATGTCCAGAGGGGGCGGAGGAACCTCCCGCACCTCAGACTCCTGGAGCGGACCAGCCACCACCGACCAGAGGAGAGACACATGAAACGAGGGGTTAATACGGTAATCTGGAGGGAGTAATACCCTATAAGTAACCTCGTTTATCCTCCTCAGGACTTTGAACGGCCCCACAAACCGCGGGCTCAGCTTCCGGCAGGGTAGGCGGAGGGGCAGATTCCGGGTCGAGAGCCAGCCCCGATCACCCGGTACCAAGACCGGGGCGTCACTGCGGTGGCGGTCAGCGTTGGCCTTCTGGCGATGCACGGTGCGCTGGAGGTGGACGTGAGCAGCGTTCCACGTCGCTTCGGTCTGGCTCTGATGCCACGGTGCCAGAACCGGCTGATAACCTAAAACACATTGAAATGGCGATAGGTTAGTGGAGGAGTGGCGGAGAGAGTTCTGGGCATAGTGGTCCTATGGACAGATACTCCAATCTCCGCTGTGGAGCTTTGCAGCTCCTTCAGGGTTATCTTTGGTCTCTTTGTTGCCTCTCTGATTAATGCCCTCCTTGCCTGGTCCGCATGTTTTGGTGGGCGGCCCTCTCTTGGAGGGTTTGTTGTGGTGCCATATTATTTTCATTTTTTAATAATGGATTTAATTGTGTCCGTGGGATGTTCAAAGTTTCGGATATTTTCTTATAACCAACCCTGATCTGTATTTCTCCACAACTTTGTCCCTGACCTGTTTGGAGAGCTCCTTGGTCTTCATGATGCCGCTTGCTTGGTGGTGCCCCTTGCTTAGTGGTGTTGCAGACTCTGGGCCCTTTCAGAACAGGTGTATATATACTGAGATCATGTGACAGATCATGTGACACTTCTGAAGGTAATTGGTTGCACCAGATCTTATTTAGGGGCTTCATAGCAAAGGGGGTGAATACATACGCACGCACCACTTTTCCATTATTTATTTTTTTGAATTTTTTAGAAGTTATTTTTTTCATTTCACTTCACCAATTTTGACTATTTTGTGTATGTCCATTACATGAAATCCAAATAAAAATCAATTTAAATTACAGGTTGTAATGCAACAAAATAGGAAAAACGCCAAGGGGGATGAATACTTTTGCAAGGCACTGTAGGATGAGTGAACAACATTATTTGGGTATGAGTTAACAGAATATGAACTTCTAAAAGTGAAATTTTCACTGGACAGTTACTTTAATTTGGCAGGTAAAACTGGTATTTACAGCAGCCTGTCAGGCCTGTATCAGGTTTAAGCCTTTCAAGGCCAGGAATTCTCCCAGCCCCCCTGTGAACTTTCCAAAGCAAAGGCTTTTAGACGGGATGATGAAACAACAACTATCATTACAGCCAGGTTCTACTTTCACTGCTGTGATCAGTTATACTGACAGTTGAGCTAGGATGGGAGGTCTTGGAATACCTGGGTTGGTAAGAAGTGGGTTGGTAGGAATACTACTGGTGGAGGAGGAGGGTCTCTCAACAATATACTTCTATACTGTACAGTGTTTCCCTTAGGATTTTTTTCAGCAGCAGTGGCAAAGTTAATTTTTGGGGGGGCAACGGCTGCAGAGACAACATTCTGCTGTTTTAAAGCTAATTTCTTGCAATTCTACACATTTAGTCATGGGGCTGAGAGAAAATTTGCAGTTTCAAAGCTAATTTCCTGCAATTTTACACATTTTGCCATGGCTTATGCCATGTTCTTATTCTATCTGAGTGCTGTTTGTGGGTTTTGTGTGTATAGTAAGTGTTGTGTAAGGTGTGTGTGAGTCAGTGGAGTGTGTGTGTGTGTGTGTGTGTGTCTTGTGTAGTTAGTTACCTTTCCACGTCCCAGATCCGTAGAGGAGAGAAGTTCTCACAGCAGGCTATGCCGGTCACAAAGGAGCTGTGGAGGAGAGAAAAGAGGAACGTTTAGGAAAACTGGGAATACTGAGACACCTCACAGAGCTAAGCTAAGGTGTGACACACTCTAAACAGTCTCCGGTCAGAGACACACGTTTATTGTTTCAGTGGGGAAGAAAAAAAGAGGAAAAACTCAAATACTTGTGCTCCTTTGATTGGAGTGACGGGTCGGAATTAGTGGCCTAGGTATGCATGCTGATGCATGGGAGGGACAGGCGTGAAAGGAGAGGGGAGGAGGGGGTGGAGGGGTGTAGTAGGGTCTGTGTAGAGGGTGGGGTGACCCAAGGGGAGAGGGACGGTAGGGGGGCTTCTGTTGGGCTCTGCCCAGGTCTCAGGCTTAGGGCCTCCTGCAGATTTGACTGACAGGGGGCGGTCCAACACCCTGGGGCACAACTACCATTTGATTATCTTTTTTCTTTCTTTTGTACCACTAATTCATTTACTATTTTTCCATTTTACTTCACAGTTTCAGAATCAACTGCTTTGGCATACAATGTCAAACTAAACGCGGCAGATCTCAAATAAAAAACAATGGGATAGAATAGCCAGAGAGAAGGAGAGATGGACAGAGAAGTAGACAGATAACTGTGTTTATGCAATGGTTGGTGGTTTGGTTGGAGTTTCTTCCTCTGACGGCTGAGTGGGTTGGCAACAGGCCCCCAGTGTCCGGTCTGGAGCGTGAAGTCACGAGCTCTGCTGGTCGGCTACTACGTAGCAACCTAGTGGTGCCAAAAGCCCTGGTCTGCCCTAGAAAGCCTATGTAAATTACGATTACCAGAACGCCCCCCCCCAAAAAAAAAATTTGACGGATGTTTTGGCCTCAAAATGTTGTTTACTATGATCAAGTTCGATCCCCACTGTGAATTATTTAAAAGTTTACTACAAATCGAGATATTTAATTAAATAGTGATCCATTCCGAGTACTACATTTGTCGTCACACTGGACCATGTGCTGACACATACCAATCATGGGCCGGCAGGCTACGAGGAGGTTCGCGCCCTCATGCACAGATCTTTGCACGTGCACCTAAGGGGGTGTGGTGTGCTATCCAGATGACAGTGCGGAGTCAACGAGCCTGTCAAGTGGAGATGGAGGGGCTGACCAATGTCTATGGGGCTGACAGAGGATGACAGAGCGGAGAACAGAAGATGGACTTGGAGATGGAGGATTGTGCTCACACTATGTTTGAAATATCAATTTAGTATGCAATTATAATAGAATAAATAAATTATATATAAATTCCAAACTAAATCGTATGTCTAAGGTTATTTTTTATGATGACAAAATGATGCAGTTGCACAAATGATAAAGATAGTCTATAATCATATATAAATAGAGATATAATAATATAGTTCACTTTTTTCTCATGGGGCAATCCACTCCAGTTGTGATCGGTTGTTGTGATGGTAGCCCATTCACTTTTTATTTTCAGGTGGAACGATCATGGTCATATGATATCTAGACTAGATAAGGTACTCGCGCGCACTTAACTTGAGTTAATTTGAGTTTGATTTTACAAAGAGAGTCACCATGCCGGCATGTTCCGTATTTAACTGTACTAATCATCACTCGAAAGAGTCTAATCTTCATTGACTCTCTCAGGCAGGATGAAAATGACTACATCAACCATGATCCTTTGCTAGTTACGGCCACTTTCATCATGAACCGTAGCGATTTTTTGGTGCCACAGCTCCATTCAGCAATATGGCATCCTTCAAATTCAAATACTTCCGGCTTCATGTGCCATCGGGAGTTTTCCTTAGGATGACGCCAGCCCTATCACTATCTGCTGGTTTTAATGTCTAATGGTTTGGCGTTGAGACAGGGGGTAGCGAGGGGCGCAAGGGGGGCATGGGAGGGTACTGAGGCACAGGGGCAGCTGTCAGGCCCGTTAAGCGGAGAGGCCCGTTAGAGAAGCCCCTGTTAATTAGTGTTGGGTAAACTCATTTGGTCCAATCAGGGTGGCGGGCCCTCAGCGAGTATGACCCCTGACCCCTGGTGACACAGGATACAATAGGGTTAAGGTCACACTCGCTGCCTGGCCCTTATTACTCTCCATTACTCACATTACTCACCCCTCACTGGGCTCTGCTCTGCTGGGGGAGGAAGGGGGGACAAACAGCACAGACATACAATGAACCGGTTCTGTCCCTCCGAGCACTACCCTGATCTAGGGTCAGACCACTCACTGATATTATAGCTGCTAAGGTCAAAGCCTCTCTCGCCTGATGTGGGACAGGTGCCCCCTCCCTAAAACCCCTCACCGCCCAATCACCTCCCTGAGCTGCTACTACCACTCCATCCTGAAATCGTCACATAGCCCGCCCCCATCTCTGTCCCCCAACCCTTCTCCCTCTCCTTCCCAGTCCGCTCCTCATCATTAGGACATGCTGGGCCTCTACTGCCGTTTGGGTAGACTCATCAGCTGGCTGCATTATCTAAGGGCCTGTGTGGCAGGGTCACACAAACTAACTCAGCTCCTGCTGGGAACCCAGCCAAACTCACACACACACACACACACACACAATCACACAGTCAAGCACACACACACATAATTACACACAGAGAGAAATACACAGAGGCACGCACACGTGCACACAGCCACAAGCATGCATGCACTCGCACAGGCACACACATTTTCTCCTGCTGGGAGAAGAGACCACCGCAAAAGCTCCACTTGTGTTAACCCATCCCCATTCTTACCCACAACATCACTTTCAGTTTCCTAACAAAGAACTGAACAAAACCTGGTCTAGGAATCTATTCAAACAAATTAAATGTTATATGAAGTATTTCTCAGTTAATAGGGGATTCTCTGATTTTTTCCCCCTTGGAAATGAAAAAGTAACCTATTTGAACACGCTTGGAGTCAAAATACAGGAAATCTAAATGAAGTCTGTAAGTCAATCACATCAAAATGCTTAAAGTACATTTAGTGTCAAACACCATAAAGTAAATGTATAGACTTAGGGAGCAGCATTTCCCCTATTCACCCTCTGGTCTCTGGCTCAGTGACTCAGTGTTCTAATGATATGTCCATGCTACAGCGCTGTGGGTTAGTGGTGTTCTTTGGTGTCGGGCTGCACTTGCATCACAAGTCACTACAAAACTATACAATTTCCATGTGTAGGACTTTCAGCTTACTACCTTCAGAGAGAGATGGGCTACAAGGGAAACAGATGGACACTGTCAGTTCAATTTATCCTTGGCAGTATTGTAGCTTATGGCAAAATAAAAAATGAAGCTTAACGCAAAATAAATAAAGTTAAACGTATTGTTTAAAATGGGATGTGTGGCTATCTGACAGCAAAATAAAATGTTACATTTGACTCCAATCACTTCGCTATTGCCAAAGATGTAAAGGATTGGCACCACTTTAGTGAAATTCAAAGAATCCCACACAAACCTATGAAAAGGAATACTCCAAACAAAACAAGTAAGTCACCATTTATCTAAACTAAGCCCTAGCCAATTACAGAATAATAGGCTAAATAGCAGAGATGAACACAGACCCATGCAGGCGCTGGGAATGTAGAGGCATGGCGATGGACTCCAGGGGCGATTTAGCTATGCCCCCTGCCCCCCTCCTCCTCCCTCCTCTAGCCAAAAGAGGTTGTTAATTTGTTGCGCTTGACCCCCGGCTTTGTGCCCACTGTGTATCTAGTTTGTAAAAAGTGCTTTTATCTGCTCTCTAAATATGTCTGAGCTCAAAGGGTTATGATGCTTTTATATCAGCCGGGAGGGGGACAATGGCAGGGGCTCGCCCCGACCCACCCCACACCCCTCTCTGCTTTCATACACACACACACACACACACACACACACACACACACACACACACACACACACACACACACACACACACACACACACACACACACAAACACACACACACACACACACACACACACACAAACACACACACACACACACACACACACACACACACACACACAAACACACACACACACACACACACACACACAAACACACACACACACACACACACACACACACACACACACACACACACTGTCCCCAAGCCCCACCCCCCAATACCCCCCTCTTGGCCCTTTTGGCTTCTGTTTGTGTCCCCTCTGTCTGAGGTCACCAGGACAGCACCAGGACATTCCACACACAGACCCTCTGCTCTGCTCTGCTCAGCCAGCTGGAACGGAACAGAACGGGCCGCTACCATGTATTGAAAACACAAAACACCATCCAGTCTCGCTATAGTAACGGCTATCCTCTAACTAACAACAGCTAAACATTAAAGTTCAGATTATGCCAATTATGAGCAAAGTGGATTTATATAATGGATTACAACAATAGACTATGCCATTTAGCAGACTATTTTATCCATACATTCTACATACGGGTGGTCCCGGGAATCAAACCCACTATCAAATAAAACAACACCTCCCAGCAAAACGCCCCTATCTGACCTAAATAACTCGTAGGCATATGTATATCTACTGATGTATGTATGTTTGTAACTGATAGATGCTACTGAAGGTAAATGTAATAATATATGAATGTATTTGGATGGAGGCCTAAAGTAATGGGTCTCTCTGTTTCTCTCAGTGTCAGTAGGACCTTTTTTGGTTCTATTGTTCTTATTTTAAATTTGTGTAGTTCAGTCCTTGAGCTATTCTTGTCTATTGACATTCTGTTTTATGTAATGTTGCATGTTTTGTGTGGACCCCAGGAAGAGTAGCTGCTGCTTCAGCAACAGCTAATGGGGATCCTAATGAAATACTAAATACTATCCGGGCGTTGCAAGCGCCATGCTCTACCAACTGAGCTACAGAGAACCAATAGACACAAATGAGGATTCATTCATTGTGGTATGTGTCAGCTCAGCTCTGGTTCCCTTGAATGATCAGAGACGTTGTCACTCATCTTATCTCCCCCAGACACATGACCATTGAATCACGTTGGCAAATTGATGTCTACAGTGCATTCGGAAAGTATTCAGACCCCTTGACTTTTTCCAAATTTTGTTAGGTTACAGCCTTATTCTAAAATGTATTACATTGTTTTCCCCCCTCATCAATCTACACACAATACCCCATAATGACAAAGCAAAAACAGGTTTTTAGACATTTTTGCAAATTTATAAAAACATTAAAAACAAAAATATTACATTTAAATAAGTATTCAGACCCTTTACTCAGTACTTTGTTGAAGCACCTTTGGCAGTGATTACAGCCTCAAATCTTCTTTGGTATGACACTACAAGCTTGGCACACCTGTATTTAGGGAGTTTCTCCCATTCTTCTCTGCAGATCCTATCAAGCTCTGTCAGGTTGGATGGGGAGCGTCCCTGCACAGCTATTTTCAGGTCTCTCCAGAGCTGTTCGATCTGGTTCAAGTCCGGGCTCTGGCTGGGCCACTCAAGGACATTCAGAGACTTGTCCCAAAGCCACTCCTGCGTTGTCTTGGCTGTGTGCTTAGGATTGTTGTCCTGTTGGAAGGGGAACCTTCGACCCAGTCTGAGGTCCTGAGCACTCTGGAGCAAGTTTTCATCAATGATCTCTCTGTACTTTGCTCTGTTCATCTTTCCCTCGATCCTGACTGGTCTCCCAGTCCCTGTCTCTGAAAAACATCCCTACAGCATGATGCTGCCACTACCATGCTAAACCGTAGGGATGGTGCCAGGTTTCCTCCAGACGTGACACTTGGCATTCAGGCCAAAGAGTTCAATCTTGGTTTCATCAGACCAGAGTCTTGTTTCTCATGGTCTGAGAGTCCTTTAGGTGCCTTTTGGCAAACTCCAAACGGGCTGTCATGTGCCTTTTACTGAGGAGTGGCTTCCGTCTAGCCACTCTACCATAAAGGCCTGATTGGTGGAGGCCACTGTGTTCTTGGGGACCTTCAATGCTGCAAAGAAATGTTGGTACCCTTCCCCAGATCTGTGCCTCAACACAATCCTGTCTCGGCGCTCTACTGACAATTCCTTTGAACTCATGGCTTGGTTTTTGCTCTGACATGCACTGTCAACTGTGGGACCTTATATAGACAGGTGTGTGCCGTTCCAAATCATGTCCAATCAATTGAATTTACCACAGGTGCACTCCAATCAAGTTGTAGAAACATCTCAAGGATGATCAATGGAAACAGGATGCACCTGAGCTGAATTTCGAGTCTCATAACAAAGGGTCTGAATACTTATGTAAATAAGGTATTTCTGTTTTTTATTTTCAATAGATTTGCAAGAATGTCTAAAAACCTATTTTTGCTTTGTCATTATGGGTTATTGTGTATATTGAGTGTAGATTGATGAGTTAAAACATTTATTTAATCCATTTTAGAATAAGGCTGTAACGTAACAAAATCTGGAAAAAAATGTGGTCTGAATATTTTCCGAATGCACTGTATGACAAAACAAACTTTAATTATTTCAAAAAACAATAAGTTAAACCTAGACCATCAACGAGAAGAGGGATAATTAAATGTTGATAAAACTCAATTAATTAATTCACTAACATAATCAAATAGACACTCATGACCAAAGTATGTGGACACCTGCTCGTCGAACATCTCAATACAAAATCATGGGCATTATATGGAGTTGGTCCCCCCTTTGCTGCTATTACAGCCTCCACTCTTCTGGGAAGGCATTACACTAGATGTTGGAACATTGCTGCAGGGACCTGCTTCCATTCAGTCACAAGAGCATTAGTGAGGTCGGGCACTGATGTTGGGTGATTAGGCCTGGCTCGCAGTTGGCGTTCCAATTTATCCCAAAGATGTTCGATTCGATGGGGATGAGGTCAGGGTTCTGTGCAGGCCAGTCAAGTTCTTCCACACCGATCTCGACAAACCATTTCTGTATGGAACGTGCTTTGTGCACGGGGGCATTGTCATGCTGAAACAGGAAAGGGCCTTCCCTAAACTGTTGCCACAAAGTTGGAAGCACAGAACCGTCTAGAATGTCATTGTATGCTGTAGCATTAAGATTTCCCTTCACTGGAACTAAGGGGCCTAACCTGAACCATGAAAAACAGCCCCAGACCATTATTCCTCCTCCACCAAACTTTACAGTTGGCACTATGCATTCGGGCAGGTAGCGTTCTCCTGGCATCCGCCAAACCCAGATTCGTCCGTTGGACTGCCAGATGGTGAAGCGTGATTCATCATTCCAGAGAACGCATTTCCACTGCTCCAGAGTCCAATGGCGGCAAGCTTTACACCACTCCAGCCAACGCTTGGCATTGCGCATGGTGATCTTAGGCCTGTGTGCGGCTGCTCGGCCATGGAAACCCATTTCATGAAGCTCCCGGCGAACAGTTCTTGTGCTGACTTTGCTTCCAGAGGCAGTTTGGAACTAGGTAGTGAGTGTTGCAACCGAGGACAGACAATTTTTACGCGCTACACGCTTTAGCACTCGGCGGTCCTGTTCTGTGAGCTTGTGTGGCCTACCACTTCGTGGCTGAGCTGTTGTTGCTCCTAGACGTTTCCACTTCACAATAACAGCACTTACAGTTGACTGGGGCAGCTCTAGCAGGGCAGAAATTTGACTAACTGACTTGTTGGAAAGGTGGCATCCTATGATGGTGCCACGTTGAAAGTCACTGAGCCCTTCAGTAAGGCCATTCTAGTGCCAATGTTTGTCTATGGAGATTGCATGGCTGTGTGCTCGATTTTATACACCTGTCAGCAACTGGTATGGCTGAAATAGCCAAATCCACTAATTTGAAGGGGTGTCCACATACTTTTGTATATATAGTGTACCATCCCATGTTCACTGGGCAGTTGTATCATTGACCCAATGTATGCTATGATGTAGACCACAAGTAGTGTTGTTTCTATTCTGTACATTGAACAGCAGGCCTTGTCTCTCAGGTAGAGCAAGTGAACGCCAGGAACACCTGTATGAGGTGTTGGGTAATGAAAGGCCTGTTAGATGTGTGTGTGTTTGTGAGGTGTTAGTCTGTGTATGTGTCTGTAAAATGACTTTGAGGCGTGTGTGTGTGTGTGTGTGTGTGTGTGTGTGTGTACATGTGCATGTGCATGGGTGTGTGTTTGAAGTAATTTAGGAGTGCCTGTGTGTAAATTTGAGATACCATATGTCTGTGGGTGTCAGGTGTGTATGTGAGATGTGTGTATGTGAGTTATGTACGTGAGTGTGTGTGTGTGTAATGAGTGCTTCAGAGGAGCTGTGATTATTCTCGCCTCCTGCAGTGCGGGTCCTCTGGCTCTGTGGGCCCCAGAGAAAGCGCCCTGTATTTAGCGTGTGGGAACGCACATTCTGCCCCTTATCGCTGCATTGTTGCAGCCTCTCTCTTTTCTTCTCTTTTTTTAACTAATTGAATTCTTGACTCCTGAGCCACAGGCCCAGCCTGAGAGAGACGAAAGAGAAAGACATGAATTTCAGGCTTTTTCTTGCGGTTGAGTGGGGCAGAGCAGTGGGGGTGAAATTGGAGTGGGGGGGCTGGAGGGGGCGTCTCCCTGTACTTTGATACTAAAGGTCAGAGGTCAGCCTCCCTCCGTGGTGAGAAAGTGGCGAATCGGGGCGGTTTATCCAACAATCATTTTCTTTGGAAACTTTCAAAGGCATTGCCCCTGCAACATCTTTGTAGTTGTGCTTGAGGAATTCTAGACAAAACAAACCCCGAAAAAGCGCCCCTTTCTCACCTCTCCTCAGGGTAGCTTCTCCCTCCAGTGGCTTCCAGCCCCCTCTCTTTTACGAGTGGTCAGTGTAACCCCCCCTCCCTCCCCCACCCCCTAGTCTTCCCAACATACATTGTGTGCCTGCATTTTGGCGCCGAGAAATGGATTGATCTCATTGGCTCTTTGACACTGAGCGTCAAACCCTAATTGGTCCTTTGGAGTGGTCTGTTATTGGCTATCCCGTACTGCTCACCCTGTAACACATGCACACAGGTGATTCTCTGGGTGTGTGAGTGACAGCTTTTGTGGTGACTCTCTCATGGACTTCGAGTTATCTGATTAACTGATTAACACCAGTTCCAGTCAATAAATTTATCAAATTGTATTTGTATGGCTGAAGTTTTTCAAATAGCCTATATTTGTGACAAAGTGTCAGACTTAAACCCACAATGAAAATCCAAGGTGACAATGGCAAGAATTCCATAGGAGGGATAAACCTAGCTTTCATTACATTGGTCCTAGACCATTTCCTTACTCTTCCTATGGAGGAGCAATAAACAGCATCATAACTCAATGCAACAACATATGGTAGGAAATCCAATCAGCTGTGACTCCATGCTCTCTCACGTTGAATAGTGACCTGCCTCGGCAGCTCCAGCACCCCAGACTCAACCTGTTCGTTCTTGTTGGCCCAAGCCTGTCTGCAGGAAACACCTCAGTCAACTATTAACCACCTGCCCGCTTCCTTATAATTCAAAGGAACATCACCAAGAGTGGAAAGAGAGGGTGAGAAAGGAAAAGAGAAAGACAGCGATGGAGACATTGTGGGAGAGTGAAAGACCAGTAATTCAACCCATGTTCACCCTCATCCTCTGTCACTAATACCGCAAGTCCTCATATCTAATGTGTAGTCTTGGTACAGGGTTGGGGAGGTCTGTCCCTGATCATGTCAGAATCAAGTCTAAAACCCGATTCGACCCCTTTTACTCAATTGCTAATCAATTACAGAAAACCTCTTGGACATGGATCCAACAGAGCCTGGTCCTATTCCAGTAACCATGTGCCATATGAGGTGGGCCTCTGGACAGATACAGTATCCCACAGCGTGGTGTGGAAAGATACATTTGATAGAGAAAAGCAATCTGAGAGAAAAGGCCAGGGCCAGATTTACTGCTGGGATCAATCTCGTCCAGCGCAGGCAGGGACAACACGGAGCCGCATCAGCCTTGGCATTTCACTGCGGCCACAATACACCTCTCTGTAATCCTCTAACAGACCTTGAGATTATATTCACTGGAAAACTAGAGAGAGGGAGATAGAAAACAAGGGACACAGACAGAGGAAGATTACACAGAGAAAGGGGGAGCGGGGAGGATGAAGAGAGGGAGAGGGAAACATTTCAAAGCCCCCAGTTTGAACACTAGGGTCAATATAAAAATAGCAGTGGCAGTGTAGCGGAGCAGAGGAATGACCATTGGGTAATAGCAGTATAGTAGTGGTACTATTGACCACAGAAGTGGATATGACCATTGTTGGTTAGCATACACTCAATAGCATGACAGCATAACAGACAGTGTAGAAAAGCAGCTCTAGAGGAGTAGTGAAGCTACAGTACGGTCCCATCACTACAGCATGGCATAGCCACGTTAGCAATAGCATGGCAACCCCCTGTCTCCTGCTGCCCCCGCTCTCTCTACTCTTTAGATTCCTTGAGCGTGAAGCAGGGACAATTACATTTACAACACAAGGGGCTCCCTCACTCTCCCTTTCCCCACAACACCAAATAAAAAAACATGGTGCAACCACCATTTTGCTCCCTGTCGCTTTCGACTGTCCTTTAAAATAAGATAAAACATACTTTAAATTCCACTAACTGACCCTTAATCGTTAAACGATGTCATGCGACACAGTTGGAAGAGTGGAAAGCTGTACAATAAAGAGTTGGTTATCAGATTTATTTTGAGCCATTTCCTTATTGACAAGACCTGTGTCATGCAATAATTTAAAATGTATTGGCAGTACCATCACATCACTGACTCTGGCTATGACATCTCTCTCCTTGTATCCCCCTAGCTCCAGGAGTGATGAGTTTGCAGGGGTAGGTGAGTTTATAGGTTTATCAGTGAGTTGACACCTTGGTTCCAAGGGCCTTTTAATTAACCAGGTCATTGGCCAGTGTGTGGAAGGAGCAGGTCCATTATCAGGGGGCAGCAGGCTGAGGCACGGCTGCTATTTCAGCCAGCAAATTGGAGAATTAATGAAGTGGATAATCGCCCCGTACTCTCAGATCTGACGTCCTGGCTGAGCAGACAAGGCCACCGGGGCTCAGCGTGAGTGTGTGTGTCGGAGTGAGAGTAATATATACTGAAGGAGTGTGTATGTGTGTGTGACAGAGAGAGCGAGTGAGTTCATATTGTCTGTGACCCTGTCTGTGTGTTTCTAAAATAAAAGTGTGTTTGTGAAGTTGAGTTTCTATACTGAATGAATGTATGGCGGGGGGACAGGGGTCAATGAGCAGACACAGCCAGTCTCACTACAGTATCACAGTCTTCCAGGTCTACCCCATTTCTATTCCAGTCAATGAATGGAAATGTAATGCATGAATCTGAACAATCCACCCAGAAGATGATGGGTGTCTCTGATCGCCTGAATTGAACAGAGTTGACCCAGGCCCTGTCAGCCGAGGAGAGCTGCTCTCTGTGACCGTGACTCATGGTGTTTCCACTCTGCTGCGGCTTTAAGGCCAGTTTGACGGATCAGCTGCCTGCCGGTCTGGGGCAGGTGGTGAAGCAGGGATACTGTTACAACCTTGTGCGTCTGTGTGTCATTAAGGGTGTCTGTTTCTGTGTGTGTGTGTGTGTGTGTGTGTGTGTGTGTGTGTGTGTGTGTGTGTGTGTGGGTGGGTGGGTGGGTGTGTGTGTGTGTGTGTGTGTGTGTGTGTGTGTGTGTGTGTGTGTGTGTGTGTGTGTGTGTGTGTGTGTGTGTGTGTGTGTGTGTGTGTGTGTGTGTGTGTGTGTGTGTGTGTGTGTGTGTGTGAGCATCATTAAGTGTGTGGGTGTGTACATGGCTGAGCAATCAAAGGGCCTATGAAGGCAACCCCGCTTTGCCTTGATATCCTGTTTTTTCACCTCTCTTGATCCCTCTTTCACTGTTCCCCAGACCACCTGAGGGAAATAAATATTGTCCTACGCAGTAAAAGAGGACAATGAACCCACTGCTAGGGTTCATCTAGCCCCAACCTTAACCATCACCTAAACCCAAATTGGTGGCTGACAATTGTTTACATGCCAATGGCATTACCGAAGCCAGGTTGTTGTACTGGACCATGGGGGTGTCAGGGGTGGAGTGTAGTGGGATGTGGAATCACACGCAGGACACAGAGATATAAATCCAAAGCTCTTTAGTGAAGTCCGTAGTGCACGCCAAAACCGGCAACAGGCCACAGGCGAAAACAAACGCACACTAGACAGTCAAAGTAAGTATGCACAACGTGCAGGTCTCTCTATTACAACCCGAAAATTAGAGAGAACAAAATACAGAGGACCAAACAACCACACGACAGCAGAACAATTACACACAACCCCTGACCTAACACAAGGGAACTAAATAGGGTGCCTAATGAAACTAAACAACGAACAGGTGTGACAAACAGACAAAACCAATCAAACAAGAAACATCGAACGGTGGCAGCTAGTACTCCGGAGACGACGACCGCCGAAGCCTGCCCGAACAAGGAGAAGGGGCCGCCTCGGCCGAAACCGTGACAGTACCCCCCCCCTTGACGCGCGGCTCCAGCCGTGCGCCGCCCCCGGCCTCGGGGACGACCAGGAGGACGCGGAGCAGGGCGCGTAGGATGACCACGATGGAATTCGGTCAGAAGAGACGGGTCCAGGATGTCCCTCCTCGGCACCCAGCACCGCTCCTCCGGGCCGTACCCCTCCCACTCCACGAGATATTGGAGACCCCCCACCCGGCGTCTCGAATCTAAGATGGCCCGAACAGTGTACGCTGGAGCCCCCTCGATGTCCAACGGGGGCGGAGGAGTCTCTTCTATCTCAAAGTTCCTGGAGTGGACCAGCTACCACCGGCCTGAGGAGAGACACATGGAACGAGGGGTTAATATTTTTGTAATCAATGGGCAGTTGTAACCTGTAACACACCTCGTTCAATCTCCTCAGGACTTTAAAAGGCCCCACAAACCGCCGACCCAGCTTCCGGCAGGGCAGGCGGAGGGGCAGGTTTCTGGTTGAGAGCCAGACTCGATCTCCAGGTGCGTACACTGGACCCTCACTGCGGTGGAGGTCGGCGCTCGTCTTCTGTCGACGGATGGCTCGCTGCAGATGGACGTGTGCAGCGTTCCACGTCTCCTCCGAGCGCCGCACCCACTCATCCACAGCAGGGGCCTCGATCTGGCTCTCATGCCAAGGTGCCAGAACCGGCTGGTACCCTAACACACACTGGAAAGGGGTTAGTTTAGTGGAGGAGTGGCGGAGAGAGTTCTGTGCCATCTCGGCCCAGGGCACATATCTCGCCCACTCCTCCGGCCGGCCCTGACAATATGACCTCAGAAACCTACCCACATCCTGGTTGACACGTTCGACCTGCCCATTACTCTCCGGGTGGTAACCCGAGGTAAGGCTCACCGAAACCCCCAACCGTTCCATAAACGCTCTCCAGACTCTGGAGGTAAACTGGGGGCCTCGATCAGACACTATATCCTCGGGTACCCCGTAATGCCGGAAGACGTGAGTAAATAGAGCCTCAGCGGTCTGTAGGGCAGTAGGAAGACCCGGCATGGGAAGGAGACGACAGGCCTTCGAGAACCGATCCACAACGACCAGGATGGTGGTATTCCCCTGTGAGGAGGGAAGGTCGGTAACAAAATCCACCGAGAGGTGAGACCAGGGTCGTTGTGGAACGGGCAGGGGTTGTAATTTACCCCTGGGCAAGTGTCTGGGCGCCTTACACTGGGCACACACTGAGCAGGAGGAGACATAAATCCTCACATCCCTGGCTAACGTTGGCCACCAGTACTTTGTACTAAGGCAGTGCACTGTCCGGCCAATACCTGGATGTCCAGAGGAGGGTGACGTGTGAGCCCAATAAATAAGCCGATCCCGGACCTCGAGCGGGACGTACGTCCGACCCACCGGACACTGTGGAGGGCTAGGGTCGGTGCGTAATGCCCGCTCGATCTCCGCATCGACCTCCCATACCACCGGTGCAACCAGACAAGACTCAGGTAGTATGGGAGTGGGCTCCACGCACCTCTCCTCTGTGTCATACCGCCGAGACAGGGCATCTGCCTTCCCGTTCTGGGACCCAGGGATGTAAGTGATCTTAAACACAAACCGGGCGAGAAACATAGTCCATCGAGCCTGGCGAGGATTCAGTCTCCTAGCTGCCCGAATGTACTCCAGGTTACGGTGGTCGGTCAGAATGAGAAAAGGGTGTTGAGCCCCCTCAAGCCAATGCCTCCACACCTTTAGGGCCTGTACCACGGCTAACAGCTCCCTGTCCCCTACGTCATAATTCCGCTCCGCCGGACTGAGCTTCTTAGAATAAAAAGCACAGGGGCGGAGTTTAGGTGGTGTGCCGGACCGTTGTGAAAGAACAGCCCCGATACCGGCTTCCGACGCGTCCACCTCCACTTGGAATGGTAAAGTGGGATCCGGGTGCGCCAGCACTGGAGCCGAGGTAAACAGGTCCTTCAGTCTCCCAAAAGCCCTGTCCGCCTCAGCTGACCACCGCAAGCGCACCGGACCCCCCTTCAGAAGGGACGTTATGGGAGCTGCCACCTGTCCAAAACCCCGGATAAACCTCCGGTAGTAATTCGCAAAACCCAAGAACTGCTGCACCTCTTTAACCGTGGTTGGGGTTTGCCAATTACGCACGGCTGACACACGGTCAACCTCCATCCTCACCCCTGACGCAGACAACTGATAACCCAAAAAGGAGACCGACTCCTGGAAGAACAGACATCTCTCGGCTTTGACATACAGGTCATGCTCCAACAATCTCCTCAATACCCTGCGCACCAGGGCTACATGCTCGGCACGAGTAGAACTGTACACCAGAATATCGTCTATGTACACCACTACTCCCTGCGCCTGCATGTCCCGGAAAATCTCATCTACAAAAGATTGGAAGACTGATGGAGCATTCATTAACCCGTATGGCATGACGAGATACTCGTAATGACCGGAGGTAGTACTAAATGCTGTCTTCCACTCATCGCCCTCTCTAATGCGCACCAAGTTATATGCGCTCCTGAGGTCCAATTTTGTGAAGAACCGTGCCCCGTGCAATGACTCCGTCATAGTCGCAATCAGCGGGAGTGGATAACTATATTTCACAGTCACCTGATTGAGACCGCGGTAATCAATACACGGACGCAAACCTCCATCCTTTTTCTTCACAAAAAAGAAGCTTGAGGACGCGGGAGAAGTGGAGGGCCGTATGTATCCCTGTCTCAGAGACTCGGCAATGTATGTCTCCATTGCCCTCCTCTCCTCCTGTGACAAAGGATACACATGGCTCCGCGGGAGCGCAGCTCCTGCCTGGAGGTCTATCGCACAATCCCCCTGTCTATGAGGCGGCAACCGTGCCGCTCTTGTCTTGCTAAACACTAGTGCCAAATCCTCATACTCAGGTGGAATGTGCAGTGCGGCCATCTGGTTCGGACTCTCCACCGAGGTCGCCCCTACGGAAACACCCAGACATAGCCCCTCACATTGAGCAGACCACCCTTTAAGAGCCTTCTCTCGCCACGAAATCGTAGGATCATGGGTAATCAACCAGGGAAGCCCCAGTACCACCGGATACGCAGGAGAGTCGATCAGATAGAGTTGAATCGTCTCCTCATGACCCCCCTGCGTCTTCATCCTAAGTGGCGCTGTGACCTCCCTAATCAACCCAGATCCTAACGGACGACTATCTAGGGCATGTACAGGGAAATGATTATCAACCGGAAGGAGGGGAATCCCTAACTCAACACAGAATTTACGATCTACAAAATTCCCAGCTGCGCCTGAATCTACTAGCGCCTTATGCTGGGAACGAGGTGCAACCTGTGGAAAACAAACAGGTATGGTTATGTGTACGACAGAAAGCTCTGGGTAAGTGGGGCGCCTACTCACCTGGGAGGACTCCCCAATGTGTGGTCTGCCGTCTCCTCCACCAGGGGACCCTCCCCAGCACCTAGCCGCGGTGTGCCCTCCACGGCCACAGTTGGTGCAGGGGACGGCCCCCCTCGGGCTCCTTCTTCTCCCTCCTCTAGCGCCAGCACCTCCGAGCTCCATCGGGCTCGGCTCGGAGGCGCTGGAGGGTGGAATGGGCGACCCCCACCTGGGACGTCCGCGGTTAGCGAGCAGGGTGTCCAGCCGAATGGCCATGTCCACCAACTGGTCAAATGAGAGTGTAGTATCCCTGCACGCCAACTCTCTGCGGACGTCCTCCCTGAGGCTGCAACGAAAGTGGTCTATGAGGGCCCGCTCATTCCACCCTGCATCTGCCGCTAGAGTCCGGAACTCCAGCGCAAACTCTTGAGCGCTCCTCATCCCCTGCCGGAGGTATAATAGACGCTCCCCCGCCGCCTTCCCCTCTGGTGGATGGTCGAAGACCGCACGGAAGCGGCGGGAGAACTCCGCATAGGTGATAGTGGCGGCGTCTATTCTCCTCCATTCGGCGTTGGCCCACTCCAACGCCTTGCCGGTGAGACAGGAGATGAGGGCGGAAACGCTCTCGTGTCCCGAGGGCGCCGGGTGTACGGTGGCAAGGTAGAGTTCCACTTGTAACAGGAACCCCTGACACCCGGCAGCGGTGCCGTCGTACGCCCTCGGGAGCGAGAGCCGAATCCCACTGGGTTCCGGTAGTTGGACGGGCGGGCTGACCGATGGTGATGGTGCGGTAGGTGGGGGTGTGGGTACCCCGCTGGTCTCCCATCGATGGAGGGTGTTCATCACTCGGTCCAGGGTGTGCCCGATTTGGGTGATCCGATCTTCTTGACCACGAAGGCGCTCCTCCATGATCTCGGTGGGTGCGGGTGCTCCTGCTGATTCCATCAGATGGTGTGTAATTCTGTCAGGGGTGGAGTGTAGTGGGATGTGGAATCACACGCAGGACACAGAGATATAAATCCAAAGCTCTTTAGTGAAGTCCGTAGTGCACGCCAAAACCGGCAACAGGCCACAGGCGAAAACAAACGCACACTAGACAGTCAAAGTAAGTATGCACAACGTGCAGGTCTCTCTATTACAACCCGAAAATGAGAGAGAACAAAATACAGAGGACCAAACAACCACACGACAGCAGAACAATTACACACAACCCCTGACCTAACACAAGGGAACTAAATAGGGTGCCTAATGAAACTAAACAACGAACAGGTGTGACAAACAGACAAAACCAATCAAACAAGAAACATCGAACGGTGGCAGCTAGTACTCCGGAGACGACGACCGCCGAAGCCTGCCCGAACAAGGAGAAGGGGCCGCCTCGGCCGAAACCGTGACAGGGGGTTGTCCTGAGGGGGCAGGACTCTCATGTATGATGTTAGTGTAGCTGTCTGAGTATTTTGGGACATTCTAGGCATGTACGTACCTCTGTGTGGGACTAATAGCCACAGACCACACCTTGTCATTCATGGGGATAGTGCCTCTGGGGCAGTTGGAAGACAAAGTCCAAATCTAAAAGAAAACATTAGGAAAATACTAACATTAAAACCATTGTAAATGCAATAAAACCATGGTTGTCTGTGGTTGACAGTACATGCTAATATGCCACAGGGTGGAACACACAGAGTTTATGATGGCAATTAATTGGGCCAGCTTGGCAATTTATTCGCCCAGCTTGCATTTGACACACACTCTTGGGTTGCCACCCAATGGGACACTACAGTGGAGCTCTGTCAGCCAGTATAATTTAAGGAAACTGACACATTGGTTGCTAGTATATTAGTGTGTCTTACCCGGGCTGTTCTGTCTCTGGAGCCGCTGACGATCAGTCCTCCTATGCAGTCCAAGCAGTTCACATCCTGCTTGATTACTCTACAGGGAACCCATTCCTCCTGTGGTGCACCAGGATCTTACTATCACTGAAAGAGACAGATAATAGTTAATCATAACAGACATGAGTACATTGAGTGGAATATGATGTCTTTGATTGAGAGTGTACTTCTATGGCTGTGGGTCTGCAGTAGTGATGATGCTTCTATTTTCTTTAGTCTAAGTATGTTCACAGCAAGAATGGCAAATGAGTACTGAAGCAAAATGCTGGACTGAACTTTAACCACTGATATTATTCCTTACAGGAGTTTTGGTCAAGGTTATTACTGCTCATTACCTTCCTCCACTAATGAGGTGTGTGTCCGTCACAACAAATCGACACATCTTCCTGGTGTCCTGAGAACAGAGCCAAGGGGCTTCGCTGGAGCCTCTCCCTGTCCGGCCTCAGATAGTACACTCCGATGTCTGCAGCCTGAGACAGATACAGCACATCCCCATCTAGATGTATCCATGGCAACAAGCTGTGGGGGGAACACACAATCAAAACATATGTTTTTCTACACCTCGCTTCAGACGTTACGGATTGAGGTGACACAATGACTAAAAGGTGAGAATGATCCTCCCTCTAGTTGAAACCTTGTCAATGGCACAACCAGAAGGGAACACTTTTTAAAGTAATCTAGGGATGGACAATAAGCCAACCATTGACTCTCTGGATAGTGCTTAGCAGTACTCCTAATGAGCTTCTCAGCCCCAACATCTAGAACTATAAGCTATTCAGCAACCATTTTTCAGACATTAACAACTAAATATCTAATACCATTTAGTTGTATACAGCTTTATAAAAACAAACTAACAATAACTCTACAGGAACTCATTATCAATTATTTATCCCTAATCCTTCACCTGCCAATCTCTGTTGTGTGTTCAGTGGGGCTAGAGATGAGATGGATTAGGGTAACTTCTGAATCTACACTATGGTGCCATGAGGCCAAAACTCACAAGCACACTCACTTAATCCTCCATTTGAGCATGACTTCCTTTCTGCAGATCCCATGGCTCCAGTTCTGAGATACCTTCACTCTGTCATTCAGCGGGATGTGGGGATACCTGTAACATGGACAGTGATGTGATAACACAATTATAACCCCTGAAGAATAAAAAATAAATCTAACCTCTGAACAGACAATGCTCACAAACAATTCCCAAAAGGCTTTGAATTACAGAATTGCATGATATGAATATCACAAGGCATAGTGGGATGCCTCAAACAGAACGATATTGTTTATATGCATGATGCAATGAGGATCTAGATGGGATAAAAGCAGCTAGAAAGATACAAGACTTGTCAGACTTCAACTCAACACTGTCATCCAGGGCTGGGTTTCCCAAAAGCATCGTAGCACTAAGATCATCTTAATTCCATTGAAACTAAATGGACGATATATTATCTTAGTACTACGTTGCTTTTGGGAAAACCCAGCCCAGAATAGTAGCATATGTATTCACATGTGTTCAGGAGGCCTGTGCCAGAGGGGGTGGATACGGGCTGGAGGAAACAGCCTGCTCCTCTCACAGAGCTGAGGGATGTGGTATCCTGTAGCTCTCAGCAGGAACGCCAAGTTCATTTACACTGGCATTAGGCTGCATCTCAAAGGAGACCCATGGTTTGATTAGAGTGGCTGTCACTGTGGCACATGGAGCTGTGCTGGGGGGAGGAGGCAGTGATGCCAGAATGGCTCAGGTCCAATTCACAATGTTAGGTTCTCTAGACCAGTCAGTCAGACTCAGGGCTTCCACAGCAGCAAGTGGGAAGAAATTGGCTATTTCTATTTCTTACAATTAATGTATCATGAAATACAGTGTCGTCATGTCAACGTAACTACAGTCATTGACTGAGTATTTTATTCCCAGCATTATGTAGCACCATGGCTGTGTGCAATAAGGAATGTGTTATTATGCAGCTACAACTTATTTATAAATGCTGTTAGTTCTATCTATAGAGGGTATCTGCATTCATTTTTACAAAGAAATAGCATACATTTTTACAAAGAAACAGAAACGTATTCCAGGGGCACCATACTGAAGCATTGTAGCCAATGCACACTACATGCTACGGTGTTGCATAATTTTGCATCAAGGAGGACAGCGGTGTTACTGGCAACTGTGGCAAGCCGGGTAAAGATGTAAACAACCCCTGGGAAGTCATGATGCTTACTTATCATGAAACGACCACTGTAGCCTACTGTACGAATAACAAATGTATTTCTTACACATCTGCTCCTTGTCATGAAATTCCAGTGTTATGAACTCTTTCGCTATCTTCCTAAATACTGCGTCCCGATTAGCAAAATGGTACATTGTTTTGCAAACTTGAGAAAGGCGACTCAAAGACTTTCACATGATGTGGTAGAGCACATCCTCTAATAACTGGAATAAGAACATTTTAAGTTCTTATTGAAGAAGGTTTCTCTTTTCCGTTTATGTATTGCCCTTTCTCTATGAGGTGTACTGCCTCTTCTGTGGTAGTAAAATAATAATAATAATAATAATAATAATAATAAAGCGGTAAACAGTATTCCATGTTTTCAGAGCGCGTGAACAGAGAAGACACAGGAAGCCAAAACAGTAACGTGGTGACGTCGTGCGACGTAATGACGTCATAAACCTATAACCTGTTGCTCTATCAGGGTATATGTAACCTAACGTAGCAGGCGTGAAAGAAACGCCTGAAAGAAACGCCTGAAACTAGATCACCTACAGTTAAGGATGGAGTGTTGCCTTGTTAACGTCCAAAAGAAGTCCTGTCAAAGGCTCTCTTTCCATTTCTCCTGAAAACGGGAACATCCGGTTGTTGGGGACTTGGTATATGAAATTAAATGTCTCACTCTCCAATTACTATATTGGTTGTATTTTCAACAGTATTAGCAACAGTGACATGTATTGCTTGGCTATACTGTGACATTTTGAGGTGTTGAAAACCTACACACACATTCCACGGTGCTCTATAGCTAATTTCAACAACTGCGGTTAAGGTAATTTTTGTTTTATTGTGCAGCTTTATTTACTAACTCTGAGTTCAGGCTTGTCATCGCTTGGCCAGGTGGCCTCTTTGGCTGTTTCTCCTCGTCTTTCCTGTTTTCTATTGGCCATTCTGGCATGGGCATGAGTTCCCCGGCAGCAGACATGCTCCGTGGCTTGTGGAATGCCCCTCGGCCCCTCAGTCCTTCTCCTCTCTCCCTCCTCTGGTCCGTGGCATATTGACTGACCCAGTCGCTCTGATGTTTTTGTTGTGGGGTTTTTTGTATGGCGAGCTTCTTGTCATTGCTGGCGGACCCCCATCTTGTCGGTATTTAAAGCTGTCATTGTCTGACATGTTTTTCTATTACAGCCACAATGGGCCCATTTGATCAAGGGTTATGGTATGTGATAGGTTGTTTGATCAGAGGTCATGGTGTGTGATTGGCAGAAATGCAGCTCCTAGGTGGCAGTTTCTATTTAGACCAAAGTGGCAGCGTAACCTCATCTCATTCAGCGTTGTGACTGTGTTGCTCATAGAGAGGTGACCGAACTGAGACCAAGTTCCTCGCAACAACTGGACGGTGACCAGGTCAAACACAGGCGACCAGGTCAAACCACTATAGGACCATGGGACCACATCAACATTATGATTTAGAAAACAACAATATAATTGACTATCTGTATGTATCTGACTAATACAGTTTCTAAGCAGAAAGCACCTGTGGTTCTTGGGATGATGCCAACTGTGAAATACTAGAATACTGTGAAAAAGAGTACTGTGGAAAAGGCTTTATAATGCAAAGAACAATTATTTTAAAAAAAAACATCAAAGTGTTTCATTTTCTCTGGAAAAGTTTGTATGACATTGTAAATCATGTGAGCATAAACCAAAGAGAACCACTTATGTTAAATCTATCTGCATGCTAAATATTGCTATTTTTCACCTGCAGTACTAAGGAATCCATGTCCAGAATTTAAGGTTATTCACCAAAGACATTAAAGTACCAAAAGTCGTACAATGGTGAAATTACTACTAATATCGTCCATTCAACTGTCGTAAAGCTTAACAGTTTAGTGTCAGTAGCATCAATTTGTGCACATTCACATCATGAGGGTGCTCTAGCCTTCAGTTACAACTGGCAACCCCAAAAGTCTTTGATCAGCTGTGCATAACGGCACATCATTGAAATATGCAGATAGTTTCTTAGAGACGTGTCCTCTGTTGAAAGCTGCACACACTGAAAGGCCATGTCCCAAACACTGGGACGTCTAAAAAAATCATTTATGGTCGGGTTTCCAGCTGAACTGACATGGCTAAAAGGAAATGAAGAAGTTGGGAGGAGAGAGCTGGGGAGCGGAGGGATACGCCAGGGGGGGCCAGGGGGGTCTTCCCTTTTGATCTTTTTAGGGCAGAGAGGGGGGACTCTCCCTGAGCGGGCAAACACATTTAACTGGTAATTGTTCAGATCATTCTGACAATCAGTCTTGGAAATGCATGGACAAACAAAAGTTTACAGCTCCAATTGGAAAAGTCATCAGGTCTCCTGTAAGGCCCATATATAAACAATGAAACGTATGAGTTGGAGCTCCTCTTTGATCAGTGTTTGCATTTCAATTATCCAGCTTGGTTTGGCTGCTGGCTCTTCCCTAACATTGAAGGAAGAATAAGGACATGGATTTAAGGGGATCTCTGTCACTTGGAAGGAAAATCAATACAACTAGTATTCTAGGCTCTAAGAATGAAATGAGAAAAATGAGAGTTAACTGTGCTCTATTTTTGGACAGTATCAAACACTCAGAAACCTCAAACCCACTTGGTCATTGATTGCTGCTTATTGTGGGTTTCCTGTTGTTTTTTGTTATATTCTCTATATTGAGAAAAATAGATGGTAAACACACCTGAGACCTCAGTATGAGTCTCCTGATCAGGAAGATAATAAAGGAAAGTTTGTGGTATTTGATCGTACACAAAAGTCAGTTTAACCAGGCTGTTTGTCCAGGACAGTATTTTACTTTTTCCCCTCTCTATATTAATTAAGATATATTTAGATGTTATGAGTGTTTTTTGATCAGGGCAGTTTGTGTCAGTTTGCAACAGTGCTGCTTAGGGAGGCAGGGTCGCGCTCCCTGCTCACCCCTGCTATTCTACGGTCTCCGCGGGGGGGGGGGGGGGGGGGGCTAAATTGCTCCCTAAGCAAATGAAGAAGGTAGTTCTTGTTTATCTGGGGTTAAGGATGATGGTTGTGGCTCAATAAAAAATGAAAGAAAGCAATTTTACCCCTGTTTCAGCAGCAGAATTGCTCTGGATTTGCATGGCATCACAGGCTACACAGAAGGTGTGACTTTTCCCACAACCTGCTCCTTCCCCAGTGTCCATTGGGGGTTTAGAGTCATAGGAGCCACACAGAGCCATAATGGAGTGGGCAGACTAGGGAGTCACTGCAGAGAGCCCAGGGGGACAGAAACTCTGTTAATCCATCATGGAAGGACTCAATCAGATTAATGTCAAGTATTGTGAATAGACCTTTTAATTCAGTCCTCAAGTACTGGAAGAGCATTTCAACACCTAAGCACTGACTTAACAGTTAAGATGTGAGGTTAGATACATGAATAGATACGGTAAAATATAACAATGTCTTTCAATTAATCTACAGGGCTTCGAAGCAGAAAGGAGGAGGGGGGGGGGGGATAAAATCATGACCATAGAATAAAAAAGGCATTTGGGATAATGATCCTCTCCAAGACAACGTAATTCAGTCAACATCGAAATACAGTTGTATGTACCGAATGATATACAGTAAATCTTAGACATAAGTGTTCTGGACAAATAAGGGACATTACCAATTAGAATCTACAATGAACAGACTCCTTGAAGTATGAGCTGCCAGTGAAGCCTGCCATTAGACTTTGCTCTGCCATACAGAGCTCAACCAGAAGGCCTTACTATGCCTTAAGTAGAACACACACCAGAACGATGGGCGGCCTAGTGCAACCGAGTGCCTCTGACCAGAATATCGGACGTCATTTTCTGTTCATTTTTCGACGATTCTACACCACTCGGCAAGTGGTCCCTGTAACACACAGTGGTCATATCAAGAGATGGAACAGCTGCCTACTGTGCTTGGCCGCCCGTTCTGATATGTGTGGGGTTTTACAGAGATGCATCACCAGGTCTTGTTCTGCCATGCAGAGCTGCATCAAGAGACCCTTCTGTAGCAAGATACTTCTGCTTAGTCTGATAAGGGGGATCAAGAGAAGCAGAAGGGGTCAGTAGACAACTTCTTGGAAGGACATTAATCCCTGGAGACACTGTGGCCAAGGAGTTGTCAGAACCCAACATCCCTCACTCAGCACAGCTCTCCGCCCATGAGGACACTGTCCACAAACAAACAAACACACACAACGGGGCTGTCCAATCAGATTATAAACACACACACCAGTGCTGTCCAATCAGATTAAGCCCTGAGGTGTTAAAGGAGTGAGATGAAAGAAAAACAGCCGTCTGCACACAAAGAGACACTGACAGTTACTGAACCTGGAGAAACCAAAGCCTTAAACAAACACATTGATATCATCTCTGGAGGACCAAGCAGTAGAAGACCAACACACTTCTATATGCTAAAGAGCTCCAACATCAGTGACCTGCTGTAGTCTTACACTGCTTACTATAGACTGATGCCTGGTCTTCTAGGGGGCTAAGAGTTGCATTTCAAACAGGGCAGAACAGGAGGGAATCTATACCTAACTCTTTATCAAACTTTACAGATATATTTTTCTACTGCAAGGTTAGAAGACGAAAAAATGTCCCACTTTAAAGTTGACATTTCTAAGATCAACTCAGAGAAACGACAAATAGAAAGAGATCTCTATTAATAACAGAGTTCAAGGTTTTTAGATGTATGCATAAAGGATTTGAAGCCTGGGAAGGGATGACCTTCTGTGTCATGTATCATTAGAATGCTTATGTGATCCAAGTGACCTGTGCGTGTGTGTGGAGTGACTTAAGTCATCTCCAGTGTGTGCTTAATGATACTTCCACTTCCCAAGGCAGTTCAATGAGTGTACAACAACCACTTAACAAACAAGAGTTTAATATCAGTATTCTAATGTACATTTATTACACATTTTAAATAAATATTCCATCATTAAAATTATTTGCACACATCCTCAAATAAAAATAGATTTATATATGTATAAAAACAGACAAACAAAGGGCAACAAAATCAAAGGGGGTTTCCTACATGTCAATGCATTTTTACATCTCTAGTTTAGTTATAACTATAGCAAGAAACCTGTGATTATCAATGTAGCTGCCACATTTTCCATTGTGTGTACTTAAAGCTCTATTTGCTTTAACTGTGTTTGTCTGTATAGAATTCCAGAAGTAGCAAGGTCACACCAGAGTGTTCAAAACAGAGGTGGCGTGGCTGTGTGTAAGACTGAATGCGACATTACTCAATAATGCGCTCCTGAACGCAGCATTGATGCTTTGTGTGTGTGTGTGTGTGTGTGTGTGTACTGTATGTGTCTCTGAACGCAGCATTGATGCTTTGTGTGTGTGTGTGTGTGTGTGTGTGTACTGTATGTGTCTCTGAACGCAGCATTTTCTGGCAGTGCGGTCGATCAGGGCCCTTCAAGTCTCTTGGAGCAGCAAGTGTGAGTCCAAACGACTCTGAACCATCAAACAAAAGCAAAAACACAACCTAAAATACAGAGACGATAAAAATTTCACGCTCTACTAAAACGTCAGCACCCCAAATGTCCGATGATGAGTTATGTGCATCTAAAACCAACTTAACACAGGTCAGTACTAAAAGTCTCAAGTACAAAAATAGACTTCTTATTTGTTTTTTTAACGTTTTTTTTTTTTAATTTACTTTCTGAAAAAATAGAAAAACTACATGTTAGGTATAGTAATGTTCGGTACAAAAAATGTCTAGAGGTTTTGGACAGAGGAGTAAATTCCTGCTTCAGTCAGTGTTTTTTCTCCTCCTCTTTCTCTCTCTCTGCCCCCCTCAGCGTTTGGCTGAGAAGCGTGTGCGTTTAGTCCTGGGGCTGAAGGGGTAGTGGACGAAGTCAAAGGGCTTGTGCTGGGCCGGATGGGTGGGATGGGATCCCCGAGGCAATCGTTTCATAAAATGGACCTCACGTTGGTGCTGCCGCGTTCGCGAGCCTTTCCGGGGGCGTCCACGTCTGGTGAACCCCATGTACCAGCCCTCGTAGCGTGCGTTTCTCAGCGCTGTGTAGTTATTCTCCAGGACAATCTCTGAGAAGATGCAGTCGTGGCCTTGCCCATTTCTCTGTGAAAGACAAACACACACACACACACCAGGTCAGTCTGAGGTTCTGAAGGAGCTTTCGATGAAGATTTACAGATGGGAAATATCAGATGTATGAAGGCTACCCCGAACAGTATGTCCCTGCACACACACACACACACACAGTATGTCCCTCCCCACACACATGAAGCATATGCTACAGTCATTACAGGCCCAGATCAGAGAGAGGGGATGACAGTAAGCGATGAGTCTCCCCCCTCAGTAAACACAGAGACGCAGGCAGTGCACCAAGGACCACTCACGGGTCAGCAGCCTAAGACGCCATCATAGGAGAAATACCTCAGGAGTTCAAATTCTTTATCAGCTTCATGTGTGGATAAACTAGACTAGTCTCCCTTCGGTACAATCAAATACATGGTTGATTTGCATTCATTCTATCTATCTCTACATTTTGTTGGCTTCTACAGTGAGAGTGAAGGGGGGTTTGTGCTCTTGTATCATGAGCAGTAGCTAGGCCCTGCGTCCTCCCACAATCCCTCCAGCCCAAACTCCACTGGTCTGTGACACGTCACACAACGGCAGCTCTAATTTAGCTCAACCTAGCTGGACAAAATGGGCTGTTCAAAATAAATCTAGCATCCATGCAGCCAGCAAGCAAGTGCAACATACACAAATATATACATACAGTCATTTAGAAACACATACACACACACACATACACACACACACACACAGGCTGTTGCTGAGCCGGTATGGCAGAGAGAGGCAGCTCAGGGCAGATGGTGCACCTGGCAGGGTTCTGTAGGGGGGGGCGGAGATGGCAGCCCTGTTTATTAGCCAGCACAGCGAGAGAGGAGCAGAGACACCCTCGGACCCACAACACGCTACACAGAGTAGGAGACTTCCAACAACATACAACGACTCTAAACCTCTCACATGCAGAACCTACCAGTGGTGGACAGTTCTGAAGCCTAGCTATAGAGAACCACCAGACAGAACCACAGCCACACTGAACTATGGTAAGAACTGTTGCAGAGTCGCCATACAAAAACCACTGGTCTTAGAACCCCCAAACAGAACTACAATATAATCAAACAGCGGAACCATAGCCTAAGAACCTCGAAAACCGAGCCAATGGAAAACGAGCATAACCCCCAGTGCAGTGCTCAAAGGAACTTTTCTCTCTACCTTTCCGATCAGCTTCCCCCTCTTGTTCATGCAGATGTAGAATCCTGTCTCTGCTCCTTTGATCCGCACGCGACTTCCAAACGTGTCCGTCTCTACGATGAGTTTGGCTGAGGAAACAAAGGAGTTTTATTATCAACCAGGGCTTTGCCACTATTAGTAATGGCATGTTGCTTGAAGACATGGTTTGGTTGATTCAGTTTATATTTTTATATGAGCAAATTCTATATATCATCAGACACACACACAACCTGTGGGGACCATTCTTGAGGATTTATGCAAGCTTCAATTCTTGCAGAATGATAAAAACATGTGTCTTTGAAAAGGAAAGAGGCTGGAAGGACTATCAACTCTTTTTTTCTACATTTGTACTCACTTCACACATAAGCACCACATTCATATATCAAACTTGGAAACAGAAGAAAGAAGAACATAAATAGAAGTGTGTTAAAATGGTTTATCTAAATATGTGTCTATAGATGCTGTAAGTCTCACATCTGCTTCTATGATTGATAAACCCCGCCTCCTTATTTTACTAAAATGTGTTTATCTATTTAGTTGTTGCCTTCCATGGATGCACACAATGCCTACCTAGCCATTATAATCAACTTTTCATAGGCTTACTAAGAATTATTAAGAGTCATAAAAAATCGACAAATAGGCCTACTGTCATTTCAAAATGTTAGCCACTTGTATGTTGCTTATTAGAGTTTCTAGCCCCTCTCTGATTCATGCACACTGTGGTAGTTATGGCTATGGTCGTAATCAGATGGTTGGGCTAAACAATACAAGCTTCATGCAAGCCACAGCTGCAGACCCACACATACAACCTACTACCAGGGTAAAGGTGGCACTGGCACAGTTGACCTGAGCATCTCCACACCCTCTGGTGCAAACCACAAACACACACACTCAATAAACCACATTAGACATGACCTACAGCAGGATACACACAGAGCCAAAGGTCCAGTTTGCTGCCAAATTATATTTAATTCTAACACCATTTAATGGCAATGGGAATAACAAATAAAACATGTTTTCATTTACTTCATTTAAAAATAGAAATTCGAAGTTTGAACAAAATATAAATCTTTGTGAATATGCAAAGATAATAGATAAATGTAGCCTGGCTGTCCAGGGGAAACTGTGCGTAAAATGCAAGCGTGCTAGTTGGAAATTCAGCGCGGCCTATTTTGGCTCTAAAGCTGGTCAGAGTAAAGAAAGAGAGAGCTATGCAGGAAATGTTCAGAAGGTTGAAGTAAAATTATTTCTAATGGCTCTTCCAGACATGCGTTTCTCTGGAGAATCACCTACAGCACAATATTCAATCCAATTAAAATGTTTGGAGGTCTTCTCAACAATACCTGCTAGATACAGTCGCGTGTTATTTACTGTAAAAAACGACAGAAAAACAACTTCTGTTTAATTTAGTCACTGTATAAGTATTAGGCTACTAACCTCCCACTGGGCATAGACGTCAGTTCAATGTCTAGTTTGTATTTAGGCCTACATTTGGTTGAGTTGTCAACGTGAAATCAACTAAAAATGTCACCGTGTCATTTAGGTTAAAAGTTGGGGTGAAACATATATGAAATGCCCTTACATTGATTACTTTTTGAATATCCAAATCAGTTTTCCACGTTGATTCAACGTCATCACATTGATTTTTTGGGTTGAAATTATGATTGAACCAGTTTTTGCCCAGTGGGTAGTTTGCTATACCAAAATGGGCCTTCACGCCCTATATGTCTATATAGGCATATCCTAAGCCTGTTGTAGCCATAGGGCCTACGTTTATTTTAGTAAGTTAGTTTAGAGTTTTTAACTTAATAATGCATTTGGGCTAGTTAAAACCGAGAAAAAGTGCGAGGAACTTGAAACAAATCCACAAAATGTGGATATTGGGCTTACCGTATATGTCTCCATCATCTGCCATGGCGTTGATCTTCTTGTTGGGCAGAACCTGCACGTGCTTCCCGCTGGTTCGGCTGTAAAGCTGGTAGGTCCGAATTAACCTGCGGCTCACACGGTCCGTCACCTTGCTCTGTTCGCTTACATGCTGCGTGAAATTAGGCGAGGACTGATTGGTTACCTGTCAGAAATTAAATGTAATCACAATCAGTATTTGCAAAAATGGCTTCAAAGTAGGCTAATTACAGTTGCCTATGTTTTAAGCAATAATATCATAATTTAGCTCTAAAACCAAAAGAAGCCAATTTGGAAAGATGTTTCCAATTTTCTTTAGGCTATAGGCCTAATAACGCATCACTTGATAAAATGCAATAGACCATAATGATTTAACCCTAATGCAAAGGCATACAGTTCCTTAAATTACGCATGCATAATTAAACGCAGGAAAACCTCCTTGAAATTAAAAAGTGGGCGCAACGTGCAACAGCTTGTGAGTAAAAGTCAGCGTAGGCCTAGTGTGAAGGTAAATACTAAACATGTCTAAAATATAAAATAGGCTATACATAATAAATGTTTAATATTTCACTTACATTAAAATGGAGCAAGTGGGCATATTAATGCCTATCTTAAACGTTTCCCTATTTGACACTTCGCCATACGCCCTCGTGTCTGTTTCAAGGGACGACAGTTAAGGAACGATGACGGAAACTTCTGGCCCTTATATTTGAACCTCAAGACATTTTTCAGACTTGCCTTTCCCCACGCGATGCCCCTTCTGTGCCCACGCATCCTGCGCGAGTGAGGTATGTTCGCAAGATACCTGCCAAACTGTGACGCCGGCAGCATGCAGCGCGCCCGCTGCCCCTTGCGCCTTGTGACCCAGCTGATATGTTGTTATATCACAAATTATATGATGATCTATCACCTCTCTATCCCTCACTGCTCGCTATTATTACACCGTGCTTTCAGTCCCAGAAACCATGTTTTAACTATTTACATTTGATGTTCTACGAATTTTCAACATGCTAAAATAAGGACTTGTCGTCCAAGGAGATTGACAGTTTTATCCAATAATGAATAAATCCACTGATAGACTGAACAGTAAATGAATCGAAAACGCGTGAGATATTTAAAATCATAATCAAGAATCCTATAGCCTATTATAAAAAATAAATGGTCTATTTCAAATCATGCATATGGACATACCTGAGCATAGTAGCAGAATGCAAAGAAGTGTAGGAACCTGAAAAAGAGAAACATAAATGAGTTATTATACATTAGGGCACGTTAATCAAACATTAATCAACAGAAGGGGAATTGAGGGTTGCAGGAAATACTCACAGATAACTCAACCGGGATGGGAGGCGTCGCATGTTGATTGTGTTGATTGTTCCTTCGATAAATACAGCCGACAGGGCTTGCAGTGTTCCAAAATCGAGGTTATTTGGTAAAGATAAGCTTTGTGAAACACTGGTTTCGGTTGCAATCCTCGCTCTTCAAACACTTCATTAAAATCCCAAACGATCAAGGCTGGAGGACGTGGTTATTTTTTTTGTTGTTGCAAAAATGGGGATACATTTCACGTCAAATAAATGTCCATAGCCTGTTTTGGAAAGGCTGACGCTCACGAATTATCTTCAACCTTGAAAGTAAAATGCGAAACTGAAAATGATAATTGATAACAATGATGAATGATTATTGATAACAAGTGTCTGTCTGTCAGGCGGCCCTCTCGTTTACCAACGTTTAAGTGCACTTAGAAGAGGTGCATTCAAGTTTTGGAAAAAGCGCTGGTGAGTTTTCTAGTAGTAAGGATACAAATGCAAACAAGGTCATCCGATGCCAATGAAGATGACAGTTCATTCGCTGTAATATTTATCTCTTTGTAATTCCTTCAGAGAATCCTCAGTCGCTATCTTCCAGTTTATTCTGTTGTAAAGAGTTTATATATCGGGCTTCTCTGTTGTGGATAACGTGCGCGTCCCTTGCGTTCAGAGCGGGTGATGTTGCCTCAGTGATCGGTAGTGCAGGACTGGCGACTCTCCAGTCTCCCCTCCTCTCCTCCCATCGCAGGCTCCAATGTCAACCCCTTGTTCGCACTCACACCCCTGGTTAAAATGGAAGGACGATCTGTGAGGAACAAGCCCCCCCTCCCCCTGCATTTAAAACATATATTCACCTGAGGAAAAGTCAACACTTGCGGGGAGATGCAGGAGGAGTCTTGCATACCCAGCGCGCAATGACGCTTCTGCGCCAAACTACCGAAGGAATTAATGAAATAAAAAAAGAGTTAACGGAACGTTCCTGGTAACTTATCCTATAATAAAGTCTATTCCAAATTGAAAGAGAAAAATCCAAACACAAATTGGCAATCCATTTTGGTACAATGGACTCTTATCGTCAACACAAATCATTATGCTATAGTTTACAGCTATTTGACCGGTTTTTCGTTTTTAGGATGAAACTGAGAAGTGTCACTGGGATGAGTGCAGACCTGTAAACTGCGTCTCTTGTGTATTGCCTGAGAAAGGTGTGAGACTGACATATTAACAGGATTACAGGCGATTAGCGTTTTTAAAACACCCCCTCCCTGCATTTGATAAAGGGAGATGCATTAATCTCCAGTAGCCTACTTAAAGATAGAATCCATAATTGAAACAATAACAAAGCGTCCTCCCTACCCCTGTTTCACCAAAAAGCTAAGGGATGGGGATGAAGAAATCGAACTACTCTCAAATTTAAAGACAGAGCTATGGATGCAAGGACTGACCATCCATGATATCAAATGTATAATTTTAACCATGTTTTGAGGCTATTGGTTTACATTTACGCTGTTTAGAAACATTGGAGTAAAACAAGTTTACATTTTGGGTACTGATGGGGTATGACAGTTGAACAAAGCTCATGGGGCATTTATAAGTCATATTCTTGAAGAAGCAATGGGTATATAGACGCACAAATATCATACTTCTGTAACTTTCCTCACTCATCATTATTCACGATTCATTCAGGACTATCCGTAATCACGGTAGCATCCACATGAATGTAGAAGCGTTTAGAACATATTATATTCTTATTTACAATAAAAGTGACTCCAAAATGTCACAATACATTATTTACCATTCATTTATATTGGGCACAAAATAATCTGAAACACAACCAAAACAAACAGCAAATGCATCCAACACGTTTGTAGAGTCACAAGCTTGATGTAATCATTGCGTGCTAGGAATATGGGACCAAATACTAAACTTTGGACTACTTTAATACACCCCTAAAATGGGGGACTATGTACAAAAAGTGCCGTCATTTCTAAACGGTTCACCCGATATGAGTGAAAATACCCTTAAATTAAAGCTAACAGTCTGCACTTTAACCTCCTGGTCACCGTATCATTCCAAATCCAAAGTGCTGGAGTACAGAACCAAAAAAAAACTACAGTATGTATCCAAAAATACCTACAGTATAAGTCCAAAATGGATGTAGCAAGGATTCTAGCTTTAAACGGCCTCTCTCACCCAATGTTCCTCATGGGCTCTTGGACATTGGGCTTTTAATGAAGAGAACTAGGGTAGATAAACAAACATAAGGGTACATGTATACCTTTGCAAAATGGGACCTTACATTAAACTGAAACAATCGCCTATTGAATAGCCTATCCAATTGATCATTCACTGTCCCAAATGCAACAGACTTCTTAAACGAAAACTCACTTAATTATGAGAGAAACCAGACAGATCAATTTATTAATGGGTTGTGTGAGAGGACATTCTCACCTCGAATGGGTGAATGGGCCATTAAAGGGGACAAGTCTTCAAATGAAGCAGTCAATTATTTCATTTTGGTTAAGAGACTTAACAAAGCCGCTTTAAATGCAGACTCCACCCCACCCTTTATTATATGGGACCTAGAACATGCCCATCACCAGGAAGACCCTCTGGTTTATTGATTGCCTGTAATTAATTAGGCTGTGGTCCAGAAAGCACAGGCTTTCAAGTGGTCGGATCCAGAGTTTAGTTTCAGCCACGCGATGTTCAGACAGACACGCAATGGCCTGCCACCCATTTTAAATGTTTGATTGACATCATTTGAAGTTTAGCTTGAAAATTAATGTGTAGAACCCTACCCTAACTTCACCCACTGGCGTACCACACACCCCCGCAGTGCGGGTTGGGGGCATTCGATATTTAATTGTACTGGTGTCTAATATTGGTATGTTAGCCTATGTGTTGTCTGTTCTGATTAGTTATTTGTCAAACCAATAAACAGACTGAATAGCCAATACATTTGTTGGACTACATAGATACTACAAATGTATCAATCCCTCTCTCGTGCGTCTCATCTCATGCAAGTGAGTGCCTTCTAACCTTTTTAAGCACACTATAATGGATGGACGCAGCACTCTGTCACTGACAAATCACACTATCAATTGTCCTTGTCACCCTGCCAGCAGTTACTCATCTGAACCACCAGGGGGCACCATGTCTGTCTACTACTCTACTACATTGGTACAAGAAAGAAAGATTATAGTAGTTAACACCAACATACATTTACACTATATTGAACTAAAGCAATCTTTAGTTCCTAAAATCTCCCTAACAAATGGTCAGCAAGATTATACAGAGGACTAATGACTATTAAAATGAAAGGGCGTATGTATTTGATGATCTCTCATTGATGACAATTTCATCATGCTGAACTTTATTCATCTGTGAGCAGTAGGCCTAGATCTTGAACTGTCAGGCTTCTCATTGCTAGTTGGTTTGTATTTATGTTTCCTTCCCACCCTCCCATTAGCATTGTCTACTTGTTCTCTCTATCTGTGTGTGTGATGAGCGGCAGGTAGCTGCCACTCTGCAGCCCGGCACAAGGCCTGCCTGCCCTCCCCTTAACCCCAGGAGCCCCACATCTATCAGCAGCTCTGTGGGGGTCCCCCACCACCCTCCCTCCCTCCCTCCCCCACCAGCCCTCTCTCTCTCCCTCATCACATCTCTCTCTCTCTCTCTCCCCCTTCATTCTCTCTCCCACTACCTCTTTATTCCTCCTTTGCTATCCCTATTCACTCTCCCCCCACTACCTCTCTCTCCCTCACCCTCACTCCTCACTCTCCTCACAGCCTATTATTCCCTCCCTGTCTCTCTTCCCTCACTCTCTCTCCTCCCTCCTTCTCCCAATACCTCTACTTTCCTTTCCATATCTTCCCTCACTTAAAGTTGACGTGTTACGGGGCCCATAAGATCAGAAATATGTCAAACACACCTTCCCTCAGTTTTTCTTACAAAGACAAACACCACGTTCACCCAAGAGAAACTTGCTAATTATTATGTCAGCTCAAAACATAAACTCCATTAAAACTTAAATATTGATTAGACTATTTATAAAATGACAGAGGATAAATATATTCAGGGCTGGTAGACTGGGGTAACAGATAATAAATCCATGTTTTATCGTCGTGGCCAATCAGGGGTACTAAATGTTCCTCAGAGTCATCAGAAGTCATAATATGCATGGCAGCCTTTGTCAGTCATACCTGCCTTCTGGCATTCTGCAATGTCCCAAACCTTAGGTATGTTATATCATAGTTAAAACCTAATAAATACCCGATAAGCTATTGTAACAAAGCATAAGTTCTAGGATAACAGTGCAACAGAACAGGTCTAAAACAATTTAGCTTAACTAGCAAAGCTAAATCGGAAATACAAAAAATAGTTCAATATCAACATTAAAGTAACTGTTTCACAACATCTACTCTGAAGTTGCCTATATACCTGCAGTCACCCAGCCCCAGTGACTTTCTCAGGCATCCTACTCCTTAGGTGTGCTTTTCAACTGTTTATCCATCTGGAGAGAGAGGAGAGCGAGAGGTCTCTCCCTGGCATGTACTTATTGAGAGCCCCCGACAGCAGCTCCATTCCCAGTCTCAAAGTCTGGGGTGCTTTCATAGCCCCGTTGGGTTCACCCAGATATGTGTTTTCACTGAACACATGCTAGTAATACCTATTCCATATGAGCGCCCAGCAACACCATGGTTTTAGCATCTAGCCTGCCCTTTGTTTCAGGAGTCTCCCTCGTCATGCCGATATAAATGGGGTATGAACCAGGCAAACAGACCATAATAATACTAAAGGTGCTCCGTCTCAGCTCCCCAAACTGTGCCCTAGATTAGTCTATTCCTAGTCTATTTTTATGTTGTATGCTCTATTCCACTCAATTTCTATGCTGTTTCATTGTTTACTCAGTCTTTGTGGGGTCTGTGGTCTCTGAGAAGGTAAAGTATTTATGGTGTTAAGGTGTGCTGTAGCTGAACAGTAGGAGGTACCAGACAGAAGGTGACCTCTGACCCCTGATTACACGCCACTCTATCACACACACT